CTTATAATCTATGCGTTTATATAAAAACATAAACACACACATACATACATACAWACAYACAMACACACACACACACACACACACACAAAACACACACAACATACAAACACATACATACAACACACACAAACACATACACACATACAAATACATACATACAAACAAACATATTATTATTATTATTATTATTATTATTATTATTATTATTATTATTATTATTATTATTATTATTATTATTATTATTATTATTATTATTATTATTATTATTATTATTATTATTATTATTATTATTATTATTATTATTATTATTATTATTATTATTATTATTATTATTATTATTATTATTATTATTATTATTATTATTATTATTATTATTATTATTATTATTATTATTATTATTATTATTATTATTATTATTATTATTATTATTATTATTATTATTATTATTATTATTATTATTATTATTATTATTATTATTATTATTATTATTATTATTATTATTATTATTATTATTATTATTATTATTATTATTATTATTATTATTATTATTATTATTATTATTATTATTATTATTATTATTATTATTATTATTATTATTATTATTATTATTATTATTATTATTATTATTATTATTATTATTATTATTATTATTATTATTATTATTATTATTATTATTATTATTATTATTATTATTATTATTATTATTATTATTATTATTATTATTATTATTATTATTATTATTATTATTATTATTATTATTATTATTATTATTATTATTATTATTATTATTATTATTATTATTATTATTATTATTATTATTATTATTATTATTATTATTATTATTATTATTATTATTATTATTATTATTATTATTATTATTATTATTATTATTATTATTATTATTATTATTATTATTATTATTATTATTATTATTATTATTATTATTATTATTATTATTATTATTATTATTATTATTATTATTATTATTATTATTATTATTATTATCATACATACATACACACGCACACATATACACATAAAACACATACATTGTTTGTAAGTCCATTATAAAAACTATTGGCACAAAATTTTTTGATGTATTGTATAATATATTGGTATTGTGCAATGAAAGTGACCCTTGATATAAAATTTTTTTTAACTAATTTTATAAAAAAGTTAATTAAGTTAGATTAATTTTATTTTCACTCTATAATACTATAACATCTCCTCATTTGTCATGAAAATTTTTAATACATTTGATAAACAACTTCCTGTGGTTTTTAATCGAAAAGCACATCGACTACCATTTAGACATCATCTGGAATTTTGATTTTTTCGATGTTAAAGGAGTGTTGTATTGATCGAAACAAATAACATTTTGACAAAGCAATATTTGATCAATATGATAATTCATAAACCGTTTTAATCAATCTTATAAATCCATTCGAATTTACTAATAAAAAAAGTTCTGGCATATTTGCACTTAATTAGCCTATTGTGTAAGAGCAAGATTATATAGTAGTTAAATAAATGACAGATATTTTTAGTAAAATGAGGTCAAATCTGTTTTAATGGTTAATAAAATCAATGACCAATATATCTCGAATTAATTTAAATTAAAACATCAAATTTATCACTTATAATTTATATATTAATTTCATTTAAACCTTTGATGTCAGTCACGGACTTTCTTTATCTTCCACATTAACACCTTTTGTTTTTAATTTCTTTAACTAACGCTGATATGCTCTCTTAGTGACGGCTTCAAGATAAGTATAACTAAAATTTATTGCGGGTTTCAATAGATTAGTTTTGCAATGATATTCATATTCTATCTCATATTTTAATTGGATGTCATGCGAGTTCAAGCCGTCTAACTATTTTATTTTAAGTTATATTACAATTCTTTAATATCAAAATTAAAGACTAGTAATCAATGTATTTGTATGTGAACAAATCATTTTTTAAACATTACATGGGGTCACACAAAAATAAAGTTACTTTTTGTTATTTGATTTAGCTCAATTTCTATACACGGCACCAATATATATATATATATATAAGATATATATTAATATATAGATAAAAAATTTTTATATATACGTCATATGACAAGAAAATATGTTTAATAATATTTTTTGTTATGGTCTTCAATATATGAATTATATTATTATTATTATTATTATTATTATTATTATTATTATTATTATTATTATTATTATTATTATTATTATTATTATGTTGTTGTTGTTGTTATGAGTTTTGTCAAGCATAGTATATTTTTATATATTTTATTTAAATATATCAATAATAAACAACAAAAACTTCAATAATAATAATAATAAACTATTTTATTTTATACAAATGTCTCGATATGTTTCAAATAAATTTATAATAAATATTTTATTTTGTATTGAAAAATTTAAAAATGTTATAATAAAACTTGAATTTTATCAAATATGACATCTAGTATATTATGTTAATATCAAAAGTTGATACATTGGTATTTATTCAAAGCATATCTATAATAGGTATTTTCAAATTTATAAATATTTGTATTTATTTATTTTTATATTATATAGTTTACATTTAATATGTCATGCGTGCATACAGTATAAACGTAATAGTTATTTAATATATACTTATTTTTTAGATTTTTTATTTAATTCTAAACTATAATCAAATTACAAAATATTTTCAATGATTTCAATGGTATTTATTAAAATTATAATTTCTCAATAGTATTTAACATTATAATAAATTTATTATTATAATAATTATTTTCAAAATTCAACAAAATTAGTTTTATTATAGTTATACTGTCTATTGCTTGCAATATGCAAATAAAATTTATATAATATTTTTATATATTTATATTGCGAAATTATCTTTATATAGTAAATATATATATATATATATATATATACATATCTGTATAAAGTGTTAATTGTTGGCCTCAAACCAATTTCAAATTAAGAAAAAATTTCAAAAATAAAATAAAATTTATAATTATAAGCTAATTTTAGTTTATCTACAAAAATAATTGCATTTGAATTGACTGTTCAAAAAAAAAATTATATTATAGTAATCTTTATGATAATATGTATTATTCTGTTTAAATAATTTATTATACTTTATTATAAGTAAACATAATTTTAAATGGTATCTACTTTTATAACTGTTTATATAATTAAAATTAATACAGTTTATCTAGATAATATTTCAATGTCCATTATTGGCCTAATTCACGTATTGCTTTTAAAATAATTTGCTATAATCTATTTTTATAATATTCATATATAGATAAATATACTGTAAATGTACATTAAATTTATTGTGGCCCTAAATTTTTATAACACACATACAAACTTTAATACAGTTTAGAATATTAAATTATTATAAAATATTTTTTTGTATGCAGCAACTGTATAGTATTGTATATTTATTTTCATGTATATATAATGGGTTATATCATATAAACGTTATAAACATATATATGGACTGCATTTTTAATACTATTTGTGTGTGTTATTGAGTGTGTGTTAGTATTAGCTTTAATTATGTTACACAAATTGAATACTAAATTAAACACTTATAGCAAAAAAAATATAACGCAAATTATATTGTTGCTAACTAAATAAATTTATATGCTATAATATATTGTAATAATGTAATATATAAATTGTACAGTTGATTGATTAAATTTTGGTTATTTTTGTCGGCACTTTAATAACACTTATAAAATGTTGTAATAATTTTTTTGTGATCAAAGCTTATAAATCAAATTGAAAACATTATATAATAATAACTGTTCAACTATATTAATACATTACTGTATTATTTGTTATTATAAAAAGTTTGTATTTGTATGCAATTAAAAAAAACTTTATTAAATTAAACAAAATTTTAAGTTTTGTTAAATATATTTACAATATTTGTTGAATACTATTATATTTACAATATATTTAGTAATTTTAAACGTTTTGTTTATAGAATATTTTAATTAATCTCAATTATTACAATCACCTTAATATAAACAATTTTATTTTTAGCATATTAATAAAAATTATTATTGTTAAGTATACTACAATATTATACATCATTTTATTATTATTATCTAACAATATTATTTTAAAATTTACATAAATATAATTGAACAATAGATATTATTTGCATATTTAATTGCACTATATAATAAATTTTATGCATAATATTTGCATCATAATAAAAATAAGCATAATATATAGGTTATCATTATAAAACTTAGTCAATGTTATCAATTTATTTTTTTTTAAATAATAATATTAATGTATTAATTAACAAATGATTATTAATAATTAATTAACGCTAGAAATTAATAGTTTATTACTAGAAATATTATGATTATCATTGCTAAACACTTTTAAATTTTTATATATACAGTATTTAAATATTCAATATACATGTACGGTATTTGCCACACATTTAATAAATCAATAAAATAATTGTTTTTAATAATAGCTAATATCTTGGAAGTTATATACAGTATATGATACTAATTATAATATAATAATAAACTTAATAAGCCACTATTGGTATATACAGTATTATGTATAATACTAATAATTATTATTATTTTACACGGATAAGTTATAATTAAGTATAATTTTGCATAGATTTTAATATTTATATATTTAAAAAAATAACATTATATATAAAATTCAAAATTAATGAAATTAAAAATTAATTTTTCAATTAAAAAAAACACTGAATATTTTATATGTTTTCTCTTAATTGTTGTGCAATATCCTTGTGTCTCTTCCCCAACCAATAGCCAATTTAAATGATAATCAATGCATCGATTGATTGATTGATTCATATAATTGATTGCAATTACAGTAAATTTTTTYAATTGCCAAAACTGTATGCATTCACATAAATATGACTTTTTCTCTCTGGAAAATGGTTTTACACCAAAATGATTGCCATTTTAACCAACAAAAAAAATCATAACTACGGTACTATTTGTGCGCCCAAAACGGTTCATTACTATCGGTGGCCACAACCGGCTGATTGCTAACTAAATCTTTTTGCTTAAACGATTGTTTATGATCTCCTCCTTTGCGACCCTTAATCAAAAAGGCACTCAATTCATCTGTACTGTCCTCCCGTTTTTTGCCATTCCGATGGTCATCTCCATCGCCCGAGAGCTCCCGTTCCAGTTTCAGTACTCTGAATCTCAGAAACAACATCAGACACGACCCGTATGTTATTGTAAGCCATAAAATAATTATCAGTTCAGTGGATGTAATGTTTTTAACAAATTGACTCTTGTTTTCATCGTTGTCGTCCTTGTTTTTAATTTTAGCTACCGATGCTCTATAATCAATGTCAACTGTCTCATTGATATTATTATTATAAACCATATTATTGTTGTCAGTGTCTGCTAATTGTGTTACCATTAGTAGAGATGTATTGTTTTGGCTGTCATTGTTGGCGTTGATATTGTTGTTGTTATTATTGTTGTCGTGAATTAATAGATTACTTAATAGACTACCAAAATAGCCATAGATTACAATGAATACCATAATAAAATAGCCTAAAACTTTGTTTAAAAAAAATAAATATAAATATAGAAGAATAATATTAACATTAGAAAAAATTTAATTAATTTATATTATTTAATTAAAAAACAAAACAATTACATTGGCAAACAAATAATAAATTCATAAGCACAATGATAATAATAATAATAAAATATATTACTTAATTTATATTTATTAGATATTTATTTTAACATTTATTATTAATAATCATCCATTATTTAAAAATATTATTATTTATATACATGTATGTAAAATAAGGTATATATACTGTATATATGTTTTAATTGATAAATACCCAGAAAATTGATGACATTTCTATCGGAAGACTTCTTTACTTTTGTATTATTTTCATTATTATTATTAATTTTATTCGCACTTTCTTTGATTGTTAAATGTTTTGTTAATATTTTTGGTTTAATTTTGACGGCATTATTATTATCGTTATTATTATCATTATTATTATTGTTCTCATTGTTAACAGTATCGTTAATCGTTATAAAACTTTCCTCATTATAGACAACTAGATTATCATTATTAGTAATATCACTATTATTATTATTATTATTATTATTATTATTGAATAAACTATTAATTGCAATATCATCTCTGGCCAGACATTTGCTCATATCTTTATTGTCGGTATTATCGTTAGATTTCATAATTTACTGTATATTTATTATTATTGTTGTATTGTTTTTCGACTAAACTGTATATATATACAGAATATATATATATATTGGTCTCTTGAGATACTAATACTCCAATTGTAAGACAAGGACTGTTAGTTTTAAAATCTATGTTTGTCTGTTTGTATAATTGTATATATATATTGTGTAATTTTTATACATTAAACCAGAGGATAATTAGTGGGACAGTTATTTAATATCATGATTAAAACACACACACAAAGAGAGACACACTCACAACAAACATAAATGTATTGGAGAGACAAACATAACAATAATAATAACAATAAAATATTACAAATGCATAGAAATAATAGAATTTTCAAACAATTTATTCACTAAAAAACAATACATTTGATAGTAAAAAAAATAACATGAATTCAATTATAAGATAAATTTTTGAATACAAATTCTTAAGACAACAAAAAAATTATTATTTCTATAGACTTTAAATGAAAAACTTGTGACTTAAGCAATATATAAATATATGTGATATAAAACAATTTATTATTTGCTGTATAATACTAAAATACAAACACATAGTGTACTATATTTATATATTTATATATAAATAAATATATATATATATATATATATATATACAGATATGCATATAAAACAGTATATGATATACACACTTGAGCTATACATACAGTAAAATAATAATAATAAACTGCATTTTATATATTTTTGTAATTCAAACACAACAAAAAACATTTGTTTCTACAATAACAACACAACACTTATTTTAGGACCTACTGTATTGTTGGATCGATTCCAGAAGTACTGTTCCCGTTAATAGAGTGCACCAGATTTTGCATACATAAGCGTAAAAATGTCTATAAAATACAAATAGACAGATAAATTGAAAGATAAGGAGAGAAAGAGAGAGAGAGAGAGAGAGAGAGAGAGAGAGAGAGAGAGAGAGAGAATATTCTCAATGTCACGAATACTAAGTTTATTTTAATTTTTATATTTAACAAAAATTCTTTAATCTCTTGGGTTTTAATGATATTTATAAAAATTATAAAATTTATAAGTAAAAATTAATTAATTAAATCTATTAATTATTTATTAAATTAAATTTTAATATATAAATTACTTTTATTAATTTAGTTTAAGAAAAAAATAGTTTTTTATCATTTAATATTACTCGATTGAGATTATTGTATATTTAAATAAAGTAAAAATTACTAACAAAAACACTGACTATTAAAACAATAATAACAACATTTTACAGACAGTATGTCTAAGCAAAATGATTTTGTTATACATTATATAATATTATTAATATTGACTCTGACTCTGTAAATGTGCTATATTTAGATAAATTATAAATAATTGATAATTTATATTTTCAATAAAATTTTAATTAAATAAAAATATAAAATTATATATTATATAATTTATTGATTAAACAACAATTTATGATTTTTATATTATTAGTAATATATACAGTATATATACTACGTATATTACGTACATGTATATTATTATTATTTACAAATGATTATTTAATTATAGATTTTATTTTTGAAAAGTAATTAAACTTTTCATTTTATTTTTATCTATTAGTATATTAAGTAAATGCTAGACAAGTCTTTTAAAAGTAAAAAAAAATAATTTCGTAATTGTTATATAAAATAAAAATTTATTTTAATTAATTTTATTACTTATATATTTAATAACAACATAAAATGTTGCCATGGTAGTTTTGTGTACTTATTAGATATTCTAATATAATAACAAATAATTTTTTTCTCATTATTATTAGTATTATTTAGTTTATTATAGAATAATATAAGAAAAATTCTTTAAGATTTTTGTTAATAATTATTACTTAAAAATTTAGTAAATTTGTCTAAACATTTGTAAATTTTTTGAATTAATTGTTTTATAAAGTATGTATAAAACATAATGTAATTATTAACAGTTTTTTTAATTAAATTTTAATTTGTATTTAATATTTGTATTAATACATTTTAACATAAATATAAAGTCAAAAACTTATCCTTAATTAACATTTGTTTTGTTAGTATAAAACATAATCAAAAAAAATTCCTTTTAATTAAATAATAATTTTAATAACAGATAAGTTTTGATTAATACATAATAGTTTAGAAATGGATGTAATCTTTATTGATAATAATAATAATACAGAAAAAGGCGACAAAAGTGGCTATAATTTTAAACAACAAAATATCTGCGAGAAAACTGTCACCGATAGGATGGGTCACCGAACCGGTGACGATATGACTGTCAAAATAGATGAACAGTCGACCGTTAACAGTACAGAGACTAACGGTGCGTATAAGAAATTGGATGAAACAAATGAGGACAAACTTAAGTCAGCGGAAACAATACCGACACCATTGCCTACAGCAGCAGCAGCTGTGGGCATATTATCAACGCGTAGACAGACATCTATAGGGACAGACTTTGCCTGTAAGTGTCATATTATATATAATATATTACATTTTAAAAAATCTATTTATACTAATTAAACTAATTAGATAATTGTCTATTTGTATTACATTTTGAATTAAATAACATTTTTATACTTAAATGGAAAGGCATACTCTTTTATATAATGGTAGCGGTACTGGTGTTTACAATGATGACCCGTACCTACACTTCATACCATACCGGTTACGGTTATGGACACAACAGCACTTTGACTGCTATCCAACCTTTATTGGCTTATCTATGCGTAGGACTTGCCTGTGCTATCATTAGAAGTTTACGCAAACAACTTAAAGGTATTAAACAGTTAACTATTATTTGTAATATTTGCTAAATATTTGTAAGAAAGAGATTAAAAATTTTTATTGGAAAAGTCATGTATTTTTTGAGAAACAGATATTTGCTTTGAAAATCAAAATCTGATAAAATTATAGTTTAATATTAATATACAATTATTTAAATATACTTTTTAATATTAAAAAAACATTTTTATATTATCAAAATATTATGAATTGATTTCGAAAAAAATATTTATATTATAATTTTGATAACAATTATTATTATTATTAAATATCTCAATATATGATTAAAGATCAACAGATATCAGCATTTGATGACACTATTACTGAATCTGAAGTTGAGATCAAAGACTATAATCTATTGAATGGCTATAAGATGTTTGAAAATAACAATAACAACACTATTGTTGCCACCAAAGTGTCCTATAATGAAGGATCGGGAGGTTTACTGCCTTACAAGTCGTCGTCATATATTGAAGACTATGCCGACCAGGAGCTGGTATTGCCATCGATGGCGCCGGAGTCCAGCAAAACAATCAGTTCTACAGTGCCCTACAATATGGATAAACTGTCGGCACAATTGGTAATACCATCTATTCCACCGCCGCCTTCAGTAGTATCACGAAGACAACAACAAAGTACCGAATCAGACAAACAGCAGACCAATGATAATAAAACAGTTAATGATTTGGAAACTAATCGTTTAAGTCAACTATCGGCTCATGACTTGAAGACAATGGACATCAAACAATCAACTAATGGCAAACAGGTGGTCAACGGTGAACAACAATCGGATACATTGGTAACCACTGATGACGATTACAATGAATTGCAATTTGATTTCAAAAGCTATAACGAAGATAACGTCTACAATATTAAAGACTATTATAATAATTGGCTGAATGATAGTCTGAGATATGAAAGAAATAAATATTAAATTAACCAAAAAAATTATCCTATTTTTTGTTGTTTGTTGTTTGCAATCATGTTTGCCATAATCTTAATGATAATAATAATAATAATGTTAATTATAATTATCATGATAATGATGATGAATTAGCTAATATAATAATTACATTTTTTTTAATCTATGACATATAAACACAAATACACTATATTATTGATTAATTTCTGAATAAAATACTGTACATATGTACAGTAAAATATTTAATTATATTAATATAAAGTTTGCTTACACTGTATGGTTATTATTAATTATAATTTATCATAAATTTAATATAATTAATATAAGTATGGACATTTATAATGTGTCTCTATAATCACAAAAAAATATTTTTCAAAAATGGTATTTTTATAATTGTTAATCTTTATAAATTGATAAAATATTAAACAACTAATGTAATGTTATTTTTTAATTTATGCTATTTGTTTACGTAATATAAATGTTCAATTGATGTATTATACTATTAATTTTTAATTATTTTTTTAATAATATAATGTGCAAAATATAATAAAATGAACAAAACTTATGTTAAAATATATTAAAACTTATATAATGTATGTTAATATTATTTAAAAATTTTTATAATAATCAAAAATAAAGCATAATATTATATTTACTTCACAACAACAAAAAATAAAATGACATTTAATTATTATAATGTATAACTTGTAGAAACATATCTATTATTTAGTATTAATAATATAATAATTTTACGTTTTAAGTTTTTTAAATTTTCTAATAATTAAAAATTATAACTTCTAGCATAATTAAAACAAAATTAACGATAATCCTAAAAATATACTATTATTATTTTATTTGACTACAATACGCTTATACAGTACTTACTTTTACATCTACTATTGTAAATGTCATTTATTGAATCAATATATTGAAAAATTGATAATAAATTTAATTATGACAAATTCTATTTATATATCAATATATATATATTTTATTTAATTATTTAAAAAAAAATATTTTTTACATTAATTATAATACAAATATCACGTAAAAACATTCAACAACTATGACATCAACAAAACATTTGACTAATAAAACAGTACACAAAATGAATGTATTTATTATAGTGGAAAAGGACTTCAACACAACCGGTAATAGAGATTAAAAAAAACAGACGGTTCTCAATATAAATGCTAATTATTATTACTAACAATTTGTAAGTATAGTCTTAAGTATTAAATTTAGTAGTCTATAAAAAACACACACAAATTAATGTATATAAATGCTATTATTTTCTTAATTAACACACACATACACACACAAAATAAAATTTAAAAAAAAAATGGACAGTCATTATATATCAGACACACATATTTTTATGTTGTGCTGATATTTGTAAACTACCGGTGCTGTCTATTTTTTCTATATACCGAAGCCATTCCATCCAAAACCACTGCGAGATATTTTTTTCTTTGGCTTTTGTTTAACTTCGATGGGAATAAATTCAATATGTTTATGAATACTAAAGGAAACCAAAGGAAAGGTATTTGAAGGGAAGGGGTAGGAGTCTATATAGAGTCAACTGCTGACTAAAAAAAGGGCTAATACTTACTGTATGGGTGGCGGCGGTGCCGGACAGTGGCCTCTGTGCTGGTGATGCCGTTCAATGCGTATGGGAATAGGTATGGGCATTGGCATCGGTAACGGATGAGGCATCAAACCGGCCAATAATAGTCCAGCCTATTATCAGTTGACGATAATTTGATAAATAAGAAATTAATAGATACTTATAAATAATTTGTTTTAAACAAAATATTTCACAAAAATAGTGTCAAACATAACACCATTATGTATGCCCTGATCGACGTATACCTCGAGCAGTCCTTTCTTTTTGGCTGAGCTTAGCTCCGGCTGTAATACCAGTGCCGCCGATATTAACAGTGATATAATTGTTAATTTCTTCATTGTATTGTTAAATTGATAAAAAATCAAAGACTAACAAAAATGATTTTAAATGATATAAATCAGATCACAAATGAAAGTAAACAAAATATTTAAACAAACAAACATGAAATTCAAATGAAAGTGAAAAATATTGGGAAAAGTTGTCGAATTTATATTAAAAAATAAGTATAAAAAAGATATTTATAAAATTTAAAGTTATTTTATATTATTAAAAATAAACCGGTATCTATTATTGTTATTATTATTATTATTATTATTATTATTATTATTGTTAGTATTATTATTTACCTAATCGGGCATAAAATAAAAAAAAATAAATGAAATCTTTTTTAGCCCATTAAGTACATTCATTTACTTGTATTTTTGTAGTCTATGTTTAGTATACAGTATAGTTTATTTAACGAAATTATTGTGCACTATAGTTGACAAATATATTTTTAAATGATAAATGACACTATCTATACTATCAATCAATGCATTATAATATTATATAGATTTATAATATATCAATCTATTTTATTTTATTTACACACACACATATATATATATATATATATAATTTATTGTATGTATACTACATAATCCTTATACTTATTTATAGTTATATATATATATATATATATACTGTACAGTATATTATTTTTATATAAAGTGATAAAATCAAATGATAATCATTAGTACAGTATTTTTTAGACACCTGTTATTACAAATTTTTCATTAACTAATTGTTTTTTGTTTCAAAATTGACACAATGATATAATGATATATATATAGCCAGTATTTAAGTAATTATCTAACATTTCTTAAAATTAGTAAGTCGTGTTGTAATACACATAATGTAATAAATATATTGGTATATAATGTAATTAATTTTGTAATGTGTGTGTATCTCAGTATATATATATATAAGTAAATAAATGGTGCTATCATTAGGATTATCGCCGATAATTTATCGGTAAGATTGAGACCCAATTTTATTTGAGTACAATATCTTAATAGGTCTATAATGTAAAGACTCTATAATAATAATAATATTGTACTCCAATGTTAAATGTACTACAAATAAAAAATTACAGACATTCACTCATTTAGATTTAAGGCACACATAAAAAACCAAATAATAATAATAAAAAAATATATAAGACTATTGTAAAGGTTTTACTCTAACAATTTTATATATATAGTATATATGCTATTAGTAGCTCAAGTAGCTAAAAGGAATGGGTATTAGAAAAAATATACTATTTTCTTTAGCTATTACTATTTAGTTGTATTTTTATTACCCTACACAGTGTTGTATTCATTTTCTGTATATTTAATTCAAGTGAAACATACCAATCTCTGAGTTAATTAAACTCAAACACTAAATATCATATCATATATAGTACTATAGTGTATATATAAAAGATAGTTATGTATACTTTATATACAATATTGTTTCATATACTGTCTTAAGGCTCACACATAGATAATGATGTTAAACACGACATATAATAAAGTATAATGAAATTATAAGTTAAACATATTTTCTTTATATATATCAATAAATAACCGGAAAAAATCTATAAACTAATGGATGGTTAGACCGCTATGAGAGGCACTGATAGAAATATTATTATTATTTTATTTCGTGTTTTACTAATGCAACCTAAATAGGACAACAATAATACCAAATATATATTATATTTGTGATTAGTATTAAAACTATTGGATTATAATCCATAGTGAGCAGTGGTAGCTGATGATAGTGGCACCAGTATTATTGGTGTTAAATTCATATATATCCTATATATAATAAGTATTATATATCTGATTTAACTTATGAAACTAACTTCACTCACCCGCTAACTCTTACCCACTCTGTGTCGACGTGCGATGGATAGAGTTGTTTGGCATCGGTAGTCATGATGTGAGAGCATGACTATTGTGTGTCCAACTTATAAAAAACTACACACACATACACACATACACACATACACACACACACACATACATATATATACAAATAATAAATGATATATATATATAATAAATATATACAAAATCAATGTGCAAAAATTTTAGCAGTCTAAATGCTACATTGTAAAAGTATATTATTGTATCAAATGTATAAAATGATTTTTTTTATTATATAAATCTAGTATATAAACAATGAATATTTTTAGATGATATAGCAATTTACAGTCCATCAATGTTATAAATTAAGTGTCTGTATGTGTGTGTAATTTTCGTAAATGGTTTTATCTACCATTACTGCTGACCTGAGTGTTAGGTATGTGCAAAAAATTATTATTACAATAAACATTAAAATTAACTACAAAACAATTTAGTTAAAAACAACTATTAGATAATAATAATAATAATAATTTAATACAATATATTTTTGCTCACTTTATATTATGTACAGTACGAGTAGTAATAATAAGATATAATATGAGATTTTCTATGCGATTCTCTATGAGATTCTGTTAGTACCACTCAGAGTCGCTTTTATACATTCATATATACTGTACTGAATATATATATACACCAACACATACAGAATATTCTGTGAATAGCTGTATATATATATATATATATATATATATATATATATATATATATTGTGTGTGTGTCTGTGCTTTTGATAAAATTGTCTTACCATTCCCTGCTAGTATTATAGTATAGTAGTACTAGTAGTGTAGTTGTTTTAATGTAAAGCACTGGTAGATAGATAAAAGTATGTATTTGTGTATGGTATGACCGTGTGTTTGTAATGTGTACAATGATTTTAAGTGCTATTAGAAAAATAGAGAAAAAGAGAGAGTGCTTTCTGAAAGATAAGAAAATAAAATGAATTTTTATGGGTTGTGTTGTTTTAAATTATTAAACAAAATCGTAAAAAACAGTTGAAATAATATAATAATAAAATTAAAATAAAAAAAACAACAACAACAACAACAATAGTGAAGAACCAAAATAAAAAAAATGTTTTATTATTATATTATTCTACACTATAATAATACAATCAACAACATCATCATCGACCAGTGCTTTAAAAAAAATACAATACACTCAAATAAATTTGTAATTTAAATGATGTTTCGCTATTTTTATGGCAATATTGTTTATAATCTATTATTATTATTATTTTTACTGCTACTTGTGCCAAACATAGCAAATAGCCAGCAGTGGTAGATAATTTTTTAGCGACAATGCCTAGAGATAAAGGTTTGTATTGTATATTATGTTTTGTGTGTATGTGTGAGTATATGTATTGTCTGTATGTGCATGAAATGTATTTCACTATACAATATGTGTGCGTGTATTGTAAAAAAAATAAATACAATTTTTTTATTTGCTGTTGAAAATGTTAAATTCAAATGTCAACCCGTTTTAGACTATTATTTACTTCAAATCTCTTTCTCTTTATTTATTTATTTTTTTGTTGCATTCATTTATATATATTTTTTTGCATCCATTTATTCATTTTTTGCATTTAAAAACAATTACTATTATTTTTATTACTGTATTTTGTGTGCACAGTATTTGCATAGTAAATGTTTTTCTGAGTTATTTTTTAGTTGAATTTTTTATTTATTTATTTATATTTTATATAATAGACACCTAAATATACTGTATTAATAATAGATGAAAATTTATCTAAATGTATGCAAATCAACTAATAAAAACATGCTATTATTTTAATCTTTAAAAAAATATATTATATAATATAAAATTATAGATTCCATAAATATTATTTTACATTTTTAAAACATATTTTGTAAATTTATTCAATAGCATTTATTTCAAATACTCAATTGAAACTTATTATTCATAGCAATTATGTATTTTATATAAATATATATTTTAACATATATTTTACAAAGATTTTTATCATATATATAATTTTGATATCTTTATATAGTATCGATATAATCTTATGTAGGGTTGATATACAATATAAAGTTTTACATTTAATAGAGTAAATCTAGAATTAAATAAAAAAAATAGTTTTAATCAGTTACTATATTTTTTAATAAATTATATTTAATTTTCATTATAAATTATTGATAAATTATTGGTTTTAAATGACAAAAAACTCAGTTAAAACAAATTCAATTGTATAGTAAAACATAAATTTATTTAATCATTAAATAATATTCTTAACAGAAAAAATTAAATTTTTTATAAATATTACTACCGGCCAACCCTACAATGTCTTTAAAATATTCAAATAAAAAAAATTATTTATATAAAAATTGATATTTGCTCAACAAATGCACTTAATTTATATATATATGTATAAATTTAGAAGCCATTGGCAAAATAGGTGGCGGTATGTTTATACTGATTCTGGTGATACTGTTTTTTGCGGCTCATGGAGGTTCAAATGAAATGATGTACATCACACTGACGTTTGTATTTATAATAATTGCATTATTTTCCTATGGTTTCTGGTCATCGGTATCTAAAGGCGAAGGTATGTCAAACGGAAAAAAATTCAAGTGCCAAATCTCATATATAATATATATATATATATATATATATATATATATATATATATATAATACATATATTAATATATATATAAATTTTTATCTATAACTACAAAGACATATCAATATAAAAAATTACATTAAATTTATATACAAAAATCTATATGATTGCACAAAAATACAACATTTAATGTTATATCGAAAATATAGCTATAAATAAATACTTAATAGTATGTGTGGATACATAAACGGAAATTTAATGATATTTGAATTAATTATGTGTTCACAAACACATACACACATAAATATACACACACCATATATACAATAAATAATCATATACTATATATATATATATATATATATATATATATATATATATATATATATATATATATTTAATGTGAATATTTAACTATATCTAACATTTACATTATAATACACTATTTGTTTTGATGAGAAAAATATTATAAGTAGTAGTTACACATTATGTTTCAAATCACAAATACAATATCATTACAACAATGTTACTATTGAATATTTTTTTTGAAAATTTATATCTAAATGTTGATCTGAATTATTGAAAGAGATTATAGATATGATATTATGTAGAATACATGAAATATACAATAAAATATATTTATAAATAATATAATATCATAAAATATAATCATAAAAAAGATATGAAACATAATACAAACATTATATATAGTTTAGTTTTTGCAGAGATTTTTTTAAAAATAAATATTATTATTAATAAAATATTGTTACCGAAAATAAGGTACACTGTGTGTATGTAGACTACATATACGTAAAGGACTGATACCTGTAATAACTTTAGTAGTATCGTAGGAATAAATTATTTACAATACGATTATATACTAATATATAATACAGATAGATATAAAAAAAACTGTTGCAAACAAATTGCATGAAACTTATTACATCATCGTAGCGTATAATCATCAATCGCCTACACAATGCATAAATATAGTATTAATAATATCAATAATAATAATATATACAGTAGTACTTATGCATGACTTATGATTGAATAGACATAAGTCAAATAAAATACCTAAATAATCATATATCATGTCATGCCATATATAATATACTTAAGAGTATATTCAATACTTATACACTAATATAGAGTATATACTGTATAATATAATTTTTATAAATTGCACAATAAATATATAATATATATATATAAATAATTTATATGATTTATATTTACAATCTTTAATAACAATTCTATAACTATATGTTGATATTTGATTCTCGTTTGCCTTTCAATCAACAACCATAACATGTGTGAAGGCATTTGGCAATACGTGGGAAAGCATAATCTACAGCACCAGCAGATCTCGAACCCGAACTATCATTTCGGATCGTTTCGTACGAACAACTATAAGGAAAATCCTAACAAAAATGTACACCTCTGTGCACCGCCTAAAATGGGCGGCGCGAGACTCAACATATACACTATACCGTTAAACAATTCTCAGTCATCTCTATCGCGTAGTCCATCGGTACGGTCACCGGTAGATAATCAGCACCATCAGCGCACTCAATCGGTGAGGCGATCGCCATCCAATCAGCAGCAGCAACAACATCACCACCACCACCATCGGCAAATCGGCAGAACCCAGTCATCCATTCACCACTCAATGCATAGTCATCATAATCATCACCGGAGCAGTAGTTTTAGGCGATCTCCAAAACCTAATGAACCGATTAATGGCGGACGCGGTAATGGTGGAGAGGTTAATGTAGAAATACATGACAGTGCCGCCCATAACGCTACTGTAACTACCGCTTCTTCTTCTTCTACTACTACTACTACTACTACAACTGGCGCCAGTAATACTGGCGGCAATCCGACAGTCGCATTGAAAGACAGGCCAAATGAAGTGAAATTAACGGTTCCCGAGCCATGAAGTGTCGATTATTAAGTAATTACAAAAAAAATTGTTGCCAATCATCTAAAATGTGTACCCAATTATGTCCATCCATTGACTGTCAACTGAGAGCTCTTTATGTGACTGAGAGGAGTAAGTGAGTGATAGAGAGTAAAAGCGAGAGAAAGAGAGAGAGGGTGTGTATGTGAGTGGAGTGTATTGTTTCCGACAACTTATCACATAATTGGGTTGTTATTCAATATACAAATATTGCAATTTCTTATATAAAATAATATACAGTATTATAATATGCTATAAGACATAATTGTAATAATGATAATAATGTTGTATAATATGTGAACCAATTTATATGTCTCGTCGATCCAAAAATTAATTATTTATTAATACTAGCTATATATACAATATATTAAGTCATATATCATATTTGATTCAACGCTCTCCTCGAGTCTATATGTGCTGTACATGTGATGTTCATCGTCATCAGCCCTGTCCTTAAAAAACAACAAAAACTATAAAACAAAAATTATTGTGAATTTGTGATCAATTGTGAGCTCAAACAAACAAAAACATTAAAATTTGATTTTAATATATTTATCAATATTACCCAAAAATAACAAATTGTTTTTTAATTTTAAATTGAAAATCTGTTTTTCTATATATATATACTGTTATATTAATAATTTATTGAATAAATGTTTAAATAATAATATATAAAATAAATTCTTAACTTTATATATATTTTGTTAAACAATTTATCATTAGTTTTTTGTGTAATAAAACATTATCGCAAATAATGGTTGTCTATTGTTATATGTTTTTATTTTTTTAATAAAAAAAACACTGACTTGTTTTCTACTTTAATATACAGTATATATACAACGATAATTTTGTATATTTGTTAAGTTATTGTATTATTATTAATATTATAATATTTTATAATTACAAATAATATAACACAAAAAAAACAATACAATGTCTTTCCTATGGTTTCTCTATTAATTTTTCTCCCTTTTTTAATGTGATATTCTATGTTATATAATGTTTAACAATATTATATAATACTGTATAATAATAATTATTATTATGTATTCTAACATATTTAGTAATACTGGTAATAAAATATGAGCCATAATTAAAAACATATTCAATTATCTGTCTTTTTTTATAATTATATACTGCATAAATCCAATGTGTAAAATGCTAAATATTGTATTATATAATATTAATAAATAAATAAAGTCTATTAATCTAACATACATTCATAAATGCTTTTTTTAATTAAATTTTTTATATTCAAAGAAAGTCAAGTATATTATTATTTTTTATTTTTTTTAGTCAACAACTAAATTAATTTAAATCCAAGACACACACAAACACACTATTTTTAACACAATATTATTATTATTGTATTATCCAGAAAAATGTTATTAAAATTTTAAGAGTCAATTAAAAAATTTTTAGACTATTTCTTAAAGAGTTTATATAAACAATTTATTGAGTACATTATTATGTTAGAAAATCATATAACAAACCAAAAATCTTTTTTTTTATTAATATCATTTTAAACAACAAAATACTTTACATTATTTGTTATTTATAATGACATTTGAAACGCTGGGCAAACAAACACAATAGTGTTCAGAGAAATTATAACACAAAACTATTGAATCTATTTTTTATTTATTAATAAATGTCTTAAGTTTTATGTGTTTTAACAATATATACTCTATATATATATAGCAACATATGTAATATATACTGTATATTGTATATAAAAATAATAGAATTCAATATTATAAATATTTTAGTTTTAAATGTAATATCAGTGAAATAGTAAATATATTAAACTAATACAAATAAAAAAAACCCAAAACAAAAATCAATTTTTTTACTACTAAATAATCTTTAAAAATCTTATCTTAAAATTGAATTTTCTTTTTGCACGTATTTTCTAGTTTTATTTTTATTAATTTATATGTGAATATTTATTTATGTATAAAATGATTTTAATGTTGAGTTTTTCGATGACAAAATAATATAAACATATAATGTGTTTTATTATTTAAAAATAGAAATAATTTTGATATTTGTATATTGAAAACTGCATAATATTTATTTAATTATTTTTATTTTTTCTTAATATAGTTAAAAATTATTTAAAATTAAGTTATATTATTTAAAATCTATATATTTATATTTATTAGTTTAAATAATAATAATAATATAAAAAGCTATCAATATCTTTTAAAATAATTTTTATATAATTATATTTTTAATATATATTTTACATATTAGATACTAGTAATATTATATTACTTAATAAATAAATATTATTAATTGAATAAAAACTTAATTAAATTTAACTTATAATAAGAAACTAAAAAGACATATATTATGTGTTTTAGAGATTTATTTAATTCAATATACAGTACTATTAGTGTAAACTTTATATATTATATTACATGTCATAATAATTTAAAGATTAAGTATTTTTGACATGAAATGTCACAAACATACATACATACAAATATATGCTGTAAGTAAAAATATATAAGCAAACTATATACTATATTTATGATTATAACATTATTTTATGATAAAATACCTGTATATCTATTATTAATACAATATAATATTAGTAACATTACATTTACTGAGTTTACATTTATATATATATATATATACGTATATAGTTGTGTGTGGGGGTTATGTACAGTCAATTGACCTTTATATGTTTACACGACTGTCTTTTATTTGCTTATAAATTATACAACAAATAAATTAACAAAACTTACAGTACTATACAAGTGTAATGTCAGTCATTGAATTTTCACAAATTACTATTTTTTAAATATACAACAAAAGTTTTATTCAAATGTCTAACGCTTTTTTTTTGTTTTGGAAAAAATATTTAATTAAAAAAATACTTTTTTTATTATTAAATTTTGCAATTTATTTGTACTATATTTTATTTTGTGAATTTAAGGTATTTTATAATTTTTCTATGTTTGAAAATACGAGATATGTTGTTGACAGTAAATATAGTTAAAATAAAAATAATTTCTATAAACTGTATAAATTGACATTTCAAATACATATACTGTATATATATATATATAGGTTTACTTTAAGTTAAGTATATTTTTGTTATGAATATCTTTTTGATAAATCTTTTTTTTCTATATTTTAAATGCTAAAGTTTTTTTTAACAAATAAATAAAATATTTTTTTTTGGTAAATGTATTGTTGTATTCATAATTAACTAAAGAAATATCATATTTAATCTCATTAAAAAATTTTGTAAAAAAATGTTAAAATACTTATTGTTTACTCAATACAAAAACAAGTTATACCAATAAATTTTAAGTTACTTAAAAACATTATATTGTCATTACTATTGCAAACATGTAATTTATCTAGATAAATAAAATAACTCTAGATAAGTTATTGACATGTCTAAGCTATTAGCAATTATATTTATTTTATTTTAACACAAAAATCAATATTTTAAATAATAAAATCTACTATTTTATTCAATTTTTTATTATAAAAAACAAATTTTATTTTAATTTATTGAAAATATTTATACTATAAAAATTATTCTGTTGTATATTAATTTTGTTTGCAAAAATAATTTTATTCTTAAATATTTAATATTTTCAAAAATTTTTATTTGATTTTTATAGAGAATTTAAAGCTTATGCAACACTATTGTAAATAAATTTACAAATAATTTAATTATAATTATTAAGCATATTTTGCATATTTTTAACACATATTGTGACATTTGCTTAACATTATAAATAATATTAAAAATTAATGAAATCATATTTTATTTTAAGCTAATTTGGCACTTATTTAATAATATTAGCAATTTATATGTTGACATTTAGCATAAAATTTTATGAAATTTACTTTAAGTAAATAAATTAATTAGATTCTAAAATTATTAAATAAGATTAAAATATTAGTATATTTGTTTATCATTTATAATTTAATAATGATGATTAATATATGCTAATTTTAAGCTAGTTTATTATAAATAATAATAGTATTTAAATTTTATTAATGTTTGTTTGCTTTTATTATATTATGATTAAAGTAGTTATATTATTTGAAATATAATTTAAAAAGGTTACTATATATTAATTATTCAATAATAGTACAAAATAAATATATACTATATAAATCACGTAATAATTTTTATAAATTTAAAAATTATAGTTTTTATTAGCATTTTATTTTGATTGCAAATAAAAAATATACTAAATTTAATACAATACTGTATAGTCATTAATTTATTAAATATTATTATCTTTTATAGATTAAACTTACAATGATATATAAATTATTATATTTTTTGACTAAAATACATTAAATTTAACTTATTATTATATGATTTATAACAATAAAATCAATAAACATTGAACGGTACAGTAATTTAACTAAAAACCTATTATTATATTAATTATATAGCTATTGTATTTTTTTTGAAAAGATAACTCAATTTTATGAACTCAAATTATACAAACTTTGATATTTATTTTTTTTTTAAATAATAAATACAAACACTATATTTGTCTAAATCATAAAATTTTTATTTGTTTAAATTTGAATAATTATATTAACATCTAAAAAAATTTTCCGTCAATTATAGATATATATTTTATCTATACTTAATTTTAGTTTTTTAAAAATAAATTTATTAATATAAAATTTTACTAAATATTATACAATGCAATATATATTGTACTATATATATACTGTATATATATATAATAAACATAATATTTATGTAGAAAAATGATGAGATATACAGTTTAAGGAAATATAATGTTCACTAAAAATATTAAACACATTAAAACAGTATATAGTACATTGTATTATATTTGCCATCCCTGTGCTCACTCTCGTACATACACTCATAGATATAGACACACATACTGTACATACCATGTGCTTGAATATGTGTGAGCATGTCTTAACCATAGCCACTACTATCTACCGTTAGGTATTGTATTATGTTTTTAGTGGGGAAATCAATCGATAAAATCATGTAAACACTGATAAACCTAACAATTTTTATACACCAATCTTCATATATACTGTATATAAATATATTTATGTCTATCGAGAGTTATCCATATAAGAGATGGTTGAAGAATATTCTGTGTTTACAAACGATTGAATGAAAATAACAAAATAACAGTTCAGCAAAAAAATTCTGTGTTTAGATTCTGTGAAATAATATTTTTTAATAAATAAATAAATAAAAGTTTATTATTAATCTTTATTTATAATTCTATTTTATTTATTAGCTAATGATTTGATTATGTCTATAATTTATAGATTTATATACAGTAAATAAATATATGTAATAAGTTATAAATTTATGTCCAAAAAAATTCATTACAGGAATTAATAACTATTCTATGTTTTATTATTTACGGTGTTTAATAAAATAATAATAATAATAATAATAATAATAATAAAATCATTCAATTGTCATTACCCAAAATAATGATGTTTAATGTAAACAATATAAATAAATAATTACTCAAAAAAAAACTAATATTAAAAAAAATATTTGTATATTTTGTACATTATTTAATATGAAAATATTGTAATATGATTTGCAAGATTATTATTATTATTATGTATACTAATATGATATATTAAGATTTAAATCACATACAAATTTGTTGTATGTGTACTCTACATATATCATATATGTTTTTGATTAAATTGTAATACAATATGTGTGTCAAACGCGAAGGTAAATACTATTCAATAATATATTTTTATTTAATGATGTTATATATTTATAACAAAATATAATCTATTTAAATATATRTATATATATATATATATATATATAAATGATAAAATATATTTGCAAATTATTTATCAATATTTTTATGAGTATAAACAAGCTATGTTATTTTTGAAAATTTTTATTAAATACTTTTTWAAAAAATAATTTTTATCTAATCATTTTTCCAATAACGCACACACACACACACACATACATAAATACTGTACAATAAAACAGTGTACATATAGTATATACTCAATCACTCACATCACACACACGAAAACTTTAGTTTAAGCCTATTATAAAAATTRTTTATTAATTATAGATAATAGTATAGAATATCTTCAATAGTAGTCTCTGTTTCCATGGGATGTATGTATAGATTATTCACCACAAAATAATTAAAGCCAGTGTTAATATAATTATTTTGCAATTAGTATTTATCTATATATTCAATATTCTATGTTCTCATAAATTATGCTTAAATTATTAGCAATTTTTGTATATATGATTTTTAAATTTATTTATTAATGATTTATTTATTTTTATTAATAATTGATAATATCTAATAAATATATATAAACAAAACAWMAAAAAAACAYACACAAAYACATACATACAAAAAATCTATGTAATGCAATATAAAGCATTTAAATTTTTAATGACAAACACTCATTAAAATGTAATTTATATTAATAATTTATATAATGCACTAATGCTAGCAATTTTCCTATGTCTATAGATAATAATTAATTAACAACTAAAATAAATAAATTAAACTATTGCATTCAACCAACTAACTAACCATTTAACTGATTGTTGTCTTATTTGATTTTATTATTATTATTGCTATTATATTCCCGGCACAGGTATTGGCAATCTATGTGGCGGTCTATTCACAATATTGATGCTCATCATAATGTTCAGTGTAGCGCACCGTAGGTTCCAGGAACTGGTCTATATTAGTCTGGCATTTATAGCCATTACACTGACACTGTGCATCATATTTGCCATATTCAACACACTGTGCAAAGGGGATCTACAGTTTGATATGTGGGATACGGCTAATATCAGTAGTTCCCGCTATACACCGACCCGACATCATAGTCGCAGACAGTCGAGTAGATATCATAGACATTATAGTAATAATAATAATAATAGCAGTTCTGCTAATAACGCATACAATCAACAAAGGGTTCACGTGTGTGCACCCCCTTCAATGGGAGGCGCCCGACTCAATATTATTTACACAATAGGTACATGGTTAATCTAATAGACTTAAGTTTAATTATTAAAATATTTACTATAAAATAGTAATAAGGGATTTAAAAGAGCAATTTTTCCACAAAATAAAATAAATATAATTTAACAAAAAATTTATTCAATGTTTAGTCATCAATACAGTATATAGAGTACTAACTTTGTCCTAATTTTCCGAATAAATTTATAGTTTAAATTATATTTTACAGTAAATTTTTTTAAGCATATTATAACTTATAAATAACATTTAATTCCTAGTATTTTTATATGAAGTTATTTATAATTTATTAAAAAATCAAATGTTAAAATTAAAATTTTTTATACTACAGGTCAACAAAGCAATCACACACCGCGAATGAGTAGGTCATTGGGCGGTCAGCCATTGGACAGACACTCGGTGGCCATCAATATCGATGACAACAGTAACTATAGCGCACAATTATGGCCACCCGGTGCTGGTGGCGTTGGCCGAAGTCCAACATCTCGTGCATCATCTCCGCGTGCCGGCGGCGCCGCCGCCAACTGTCCGCCACAATATCTGCAGTTTTCACCGATTATTACGGTTATCGGCGCCAATGAGGCCAACGACGACTTGCAGCAGTTGATCAGTACCTACGGACCCGCCGGCGAAGCCATTGATACAAGACTTCCCATTAACAGTGATATATTATCCGACTTTGACTATCAATACCCTGATATGCCGCCACTGTATCATCAGTTGGATGTCATACCCACCGATGGACCACCGAGTTATGAGGACGCCATCAAACAGAAGACGTCCGCATCGCCGACACCGCAGTCGCCGACTGTACCGTCAACTCATGACAAGAGGTCGCCGTCTTCGTCGTCAATACCGCACGACTGCAGCGACTATAAGAGTGACCAAAGAGGAGATGATAGCAGTGATAGACGTAGTGATGATAATCGAGATAATGATGATAAGGGATAAGGATTCATACATTTATATGATATATATTTGCTGTTATTTATTATTATAATTATTATTAATAATAATAATATAAAATATAAAATATTTATAGTTACCAAATAGCGGGTGCGTGAGTTCGAATCCAAGTGAAATCTTCCAAACAATTTTTTAAATAGTATTTCTCTCCACTGATGTCTATATTTTTTAATAAAAATTGTTAATAATTAACTACAAGTGCTTTCCAATATAGAGTTGATAGTGTTATTTAATAGTTTTAATATATGATGATATATAATAAATATATAAATTATATTATATAATAATTATATAATAGTTACCATTTTATTATAATAGTTATAATAACTAATGTTTATATAATTAAATAATTTAAATATAATGCCAAATTTTTATATATATTATACCAATTGTAGTATTATAGATACAAATAAAAAATAAATATTGCAAATAAATACTGTTTAATGATATTTTAATTTATTATTATTATTTTTTTAATTAATTAGTTACGTTAAAATAAAACTTATATCAAAAATAATAAAAATAAAATTTAATTTAGTTAAAAAATAATATTTTTAAAATGTATAGTGTATGAGATAATTGATCAATATAGTGTGTAAAATTTATTAGCCACTAAATGATAATTTGAATAATTTTTTGATATCATAGACTATAATTATAATTTAATGTCATAGTTCATAAATTATTTATAATATTACATATATTAGTGTTTTGATATATTTATAAACTATTTCTACTTAATTATGATATTTTATTTAAACACTAACTAATAATTATAAGATACAAAAATTATTATATTTAAATATATTTATAAATAAATTGCTACTAAAAATATCTTTTTTAAAATTGTAAATTTAATTTTCAAAAAAAAATTAATTCTAGTATAAATAGATAGTATTATTTTATAAATATAAAAAATGTTAATTACTTTAATGGGAGGATTTTTTTATTATAAAAAATAAATGACAAATCTAATGATATTAGTATTATTAATAATACAAAAACATTTTAATACATTTTATAAATTTGTTAAACATTTTTTGCATAATAATCACATTAATATAATAATAATAATAATAAGACCAACAAAAATTTTATATATAAAATAACTAAATTTATAATAACTTATTAAATATTTATAATATAGTTTTTAATACTAAATAATGTATTATGCATAAATAATTAAAAAATAAATTAATATTTATAACAGTATTAAACACAAAAAATGATATAAAATTTTAATGATAAATTAAGTGACAAACAATTTGATACAAATATTATATAAATTATAAGTTAAATCTAAATAATAATGATTTCAAATATTTATATTTGATAAGTATATCAAATATATTTGAGATTAAATTAATTATACATTTATACATATAGTATGTAAAATACCTGTAGTTTAAAAGTTATTATCTTTATAAAGTGTTATGTTATAAATGTTATATATTTATTGTAATATACTTTGTAAATATTTATGTAACATTTTTTATGATATCATTATTAAATATATTATTTAAATATTTATGTATAAATATAATGAAATGCTAAGTTAACAAAATAAGTTTATAAGATATTTAATCAATACAACATAAAAATCATATGCTATTGATTTTTATAATTTTGAATTGAATAATAACATTTGCTGAAATTAAATGATACCATTACATGTATTAGTGATTAATTAATAATATATAATAATTTTTAAAAAATAATTATTTCTTTTAAATAATATATATATACTATAAAAATTATGAAAGTTATATAAAGTACATTAATAGATTTATTTTAAAAATCAATTAAATTAATAATGTTATATTTAATAATATTGTAACGTCCTGCGTCGCTACTTCGACGTAAGGGTGAATCGGCTTTAAGTCGCCAGTGTCGTAGGCACCATATAGGTCTCGCACCGACTTGTATCTGTTATATTCGCTCGCTTTCGCTCGCCAGCGCTATGCAGACTTTACGACTCTGCACTTGCAGACTCGTTTACGATTCCCCAACGCTGCACTAGGTTACCCTGCGGTGGCTACTCTACGACGCCGTAGCCCGACCGTGGCCGATCCTAACCATACCCATGAAGTACGTAACGTTACCTCGTCTACTCGGATTGTCGTCTATGAAGTTTGTCTGTCTATGGGTTAATCGCATCGCGAAGTTATACGTTGTCTAGGGGTTGTTGTATCGCGTAGTCATAAAATGTCTAGGGGTTCTCGACGGCCATCCGATAACCGCCTTCCGGTCGCTCCCGATGTGGCGATGGTATTACACTGTCGGCCCTTTGGCCTGATCTGATCGAGACCTCATCTCGAGCCTCAACCGTCTGGCGACGGGAAGCGAGACGATACCAATGGTCTCGACTACCTACCAAAATGAAGATCAGAGATTCCCTAGCCTCGACCGAACGACTCGGGAGGTGAGACTCTGTCTTAGTAAACAAATCTTACCCGATCTCTGTCCCACACTTACGCGACTACCGTCGCCGGCGAACGCAAGGCCCGAAGGCCTGCGCCTACAAACACTTTAACTTACTGTTGCTTTTGCTAACCGTCACCACTTTATTGATTAAATATATATAAGTATAATAAGGGTTACAATAATAGGTAATACACGTCCTCTCGTCTCGGCGTCTCGAACTTCACTTCTCCGTCGCTAGTCACTCAAGTGACTAGGGAACAGAATGCTCGGCACACTTCCCGAGTCGGCGCTCTAATCACACCAATCATATACTACTTATCAATGACACAACTACCTCAACTGCTCTCTTATTGGCTATTACCGTCTCGACCTAGTTAATACGTACCGGCTGTCATTAAACTAGTTATTGCCTCAAAATAATGCAATCAAGGTTTTCTAATGCTATATAGCCTATGTAGTATATTGTATGCTATAGTGTTACTTATCATTATTATATAGTGTGAATTAACACAGTAGTATTGTATTGGTGTTGTTAGTGCCGCTAACACTGAAATATACTGCTATGTATTATAATGTTATGCTACATACACCGCTGTGTATTATAAAGCTAAACTCAATACACCGCTGTGTATTATGATGCTATGCTTCGTACCTCACTATATAGCTTAAAGCTATGAAGCTATGAAGCTTTAAGGCCTCTACTGAGGCTTAATCTCCGTCAAACGTGACAACTACCCTCCCTTTCAAAGAAATCTCGTCCCGAGATTAGAGAATGTGTGCACAGGTATAAAATCAATATAAAATATTTAAACAATTGCATGCAATATTAGACAAAAATTATAAAATTAAAAATGTAAAAGTTGAAACATTAAGGCGTGAACGTTGCCCCACGTATTATAATGGTGCTTTAGATTCTTCCTTGTTCTGTACTGCTTCGGTTGTCGACTCCATATCCACTGATACGTCGTCTTCAAATTGTGGCCAAATATCGTCGTCATCAATGTTAAACTCATAATAAGGCTTTATACGATCGATTGTTGACTGTATCTCAGTACCTGTGTTTACATCCTTTAACCAATACGTGCCATTGAACTTATTTATCACTTTTAAAGGGCCCACAAAGGGATTAATAAGTCGTTCACTTAGGCCAACTTTTCTTATTTTTCTGTAGACTAAAACCAAATCTCCGATTTGATACTCCATAGATCTATGTCTTTTGTCGTAATTCTTCTTTTGTCTCATCTGTGCCTCAATCATGTTTTGTTTAACTAATACTTTTGCTTCTGCAAATTTGTTAAACACATCAATTTCATTGACTTTATTTAATTCAATGTCTAAAGTAACGTCCAGCGGAAGCTTCGGATGTCTTCCGTAAAGCATATAAAAGGGGCTAAACTGAGTAGTTTCTTGTTTTGCGGTGTTTAACGCAAACACCAAATAAGGTAAAAATATATCCCAATCTTTATAATTAGAGCTACAATATAAAGCCATCATATCTGTCAATGTTTTACATTGTTTTTCGGCTAAGCCATTACATTGTGGATGATATGGCGATGTCATAACGTGTTTTGTGTTAAAAACTTTGAGAATTTCTTCAGTCAGTTCAGAACAAAAACTAAGACCTCTGTCCGTTAAACACGTAGTGATGGCGCCGTGTCTTAATACACCAGAATGAATAAAAAATTCTGCGACCACGGCCGCTTTTGAATCGGGTACAGCTTTTGCTTCGACCCACTTAGTATAATGATCCACTAAAATAATTAAGTATTTGTTTCCATTATTTGACTTTGGTGATATTGGACCCATAAAGTCTAATCCTACCCTCTCAAAAGGTTTGCTTGTAGTTATTGAATGGAGTGTACCTTTAGGTAAACCATAATCTCTTTTACGTGATTGGCATTCGGCACATCCCCTGATAAAACGGAAAACGATTTTCTTCATGTTCGGAAAATAAAATCTATTCATAACTTTGTCGAATGTTTTATTTAGTCCTAAATGGCCAGAAGTCACGTCACTATGCAATGAATACAAGACATCATCAATCATATGCTTTGGTAAGCAGACTCTGCGTCTTTCCTGGCCAGTAATGTCCGAATCAACATAGTAGATAATGTTGTCTTTAATTATGTATTTTACAGTTTTATTTGTATTAATTTCTTTATATGTAGTTAACGACACCAACGGTCTTTTTTCTGCTCATCACCGATGTTTACTGCGGTTTGATAAAATGTCACATCAGTGTTTAGGTCTACTTCATCATTGACGGGATATCTAGAAAGCGGATCAACATTCGTATGTAGTTTACCATTTTTATATTTTATTTCCATGTAGTTTAGATATGGCTGCAAGTCAAGAGACCAGCGATGAAGTCTTCCACGTGGGTTGTCAATAGTTTTAAGCCAACACAGACCACAATGGTCGGTTCTGATTTCAAATTTTGACCCATATAAGTACTGATGAAACTTTTTGATAGCCCATACAATAGCTAGACATTCCCTTTCAGTTGTTGAATAATTAGATTCTGCTTTATTCAACGTTGCGCTTGCATAGTATAGTACCCT